GCACGTTTGCCATCGATGTACTGCCGCTATATCGACGACTGCTGGTCACCTCAACACAATCCGAAATGGATGAGTGTTTTGAAATTTTAACACATTGACGACCATGTAGATTTTTGGTTGTCTGCCTTCTGGGACTAAGGCCTTTTACGGACCAGGCCATATTTTCCAATTATGTTTACGCATACTGCCATCTACAGTACACATAAAGTAGATCTGAAAGTCTGAGAAAAAAAGTAGAGGTCTTTCCTTGACTCAGTGCAAAAGAAAGCTGGTGGAGTAAGTTTGTTCCAGGATAGTAGTCTTCTTAGCAAAATTTAAGCCTTGACACACATGTGTGTCAAGCGGTCCCACGCGGTAGTCATTGCTTGACACACCATGTGTGTCAAGCGGTCGTCAATGTGTTAAATTAGCAGTCGCATTACATAAGACTTACACGAGAAAACCCAAACAGTAGTTTCCTTTCAATATCTGGATAATTCTGTCTGATGATACTGTACGAATCAAATGGTTCTGAAAGGAAAGCCCCAAAAAATCCTTGACAACGCCACGTCAGCGCATCCTGGAGCTCTAAGGCGTTCCATCATCAACAATATGAACTGCTACAGAGTTCTGTACGGGCGAAAAAAACGGCTAGAGGCGCAACAACTGGCGTTTGAAATTGTTCGCTGTAATGGATACGGAAGTAAGCGATAAAGACAAAGATTAGCTAGACACGTAAGCGAAACTATGCGTAGCAAAAACAACAGAATTCCTTTTTGCATTCCCTTTGTGTCCGACAATTTCGATGAGGCGATCAAACGATGCATAAAACGAGGGCAATTGGAGAATGACGTAATGCTCGTTAGCATTCCTAGCGACAGTCTCATAAAGCGGTTGATCAGGAACAGAATGTACGATAGTGAATGCAAATGAGAGAACTGCATTGTCCGCTTACACGGAAAGCTGGGTGATTGCGCAAAGGGGGGTGTCGTTTACCACTTAGAATGCCTGAGCTGTGGAACACCATACTTAGGTGAGACCGGGAGAACATTAAGTGTTAGAATAAAGGAACATTTCGCCAATGAAAGACGGGGACAATGTCATCTCCGTTAGGAAAACATAGAATAGAAGCACATAATGGTGACGATTTCAATGTAAAGTGCACGATCTTAGCGTGTGAGACCGAAATCTCAGCACGAAAAACATTGGAGGCTGCGTGGATATCTTCCGGAAATGAATAACATGAATGAGTGCTTGGCGATGACAAATGACCTCTTGCTTTATTTATCATTATGTCAACTCTAACCGTGGACTATAAATTTCCCAGAGTCACTGAGCAGCCCTCAATAATGTCCGTCGTAGTCGCGCGGACTACTGATCACTTCGGATTATTTGTACGTTGTACTGATACAAGGTCTGAACGCGCCATTAGAAGAGGCGTTTGGTCGTGCAGACTGACAAAACAAAATTGCAATCCCTTTTCAGGCCTCCGACAAAGACGATACCTGTCGAAACGTTAGGCAATAAACATCCACCATAAAAACTTTTGGCACAGTATCAGTCACAAAGTCAATGTAATGTCCAGGTTTAAAGAAGAGAGCACATGGGTGTACAATGATTTCGTTGATTGGTTGTGTTTGTCCAGTTAACAGACTGACAAAGCACGTTCCAAAGTATTGAATAAAAAATGGAAATTGAAACTTAGACAGCGAGAAATTGGGTCGCAAGTTTTGCGACTATTTTCGCTCGTGGAAGGAGTCGCAATGGAAACATAATAGCAAAGAAAAAAGTCTGCATCGGTTACTTTTCAAATTATTTGTATATCTTGACTTTACGAAATTTGTGGGTTGTTCCAAAAACGGGAACAACTTTTGCATCAATCTAATATCAAGTTGGTGCATAATCAACGTATGTTTTTAGCTTTCAACTTTGAATCAAAATAATTTTCTCAAGAAGGATCTTTTTAAACACCATGGAAATTACTGCAAACAACACATTCTCGGCAGCTCAAACACATACTGTTGTACAGTTGTAGCTACATTTTAGCTTGCTGTTTAAGTTCTGTCCGCTGTTCTGATAGATTTTCGCCTTCTAATGCGATAGCATCTGTATTTGCAAGATCTGTTGTCGAAGACTAATGCTTCATGTGATTGTTTACAAGCAGCTAGTCCGAATAAATAGAGGGATTCGATGAGCCGAACATTGTAGACGATAGTGTAAAGCAAGAGCTAGAAGTGGCTTTCTACCGATTACTCTTGACCACTCACGGCATTTGTAAAGATTTCGATTTGAAAATAGGCATGTAGAGTGGAATGAGGCCAAAAAGCGGAATTCTTTTTTATTTGGTCATAAACTCTCAGCTTGAAGAGCCTATAGGCTCTTCTTGGTCATAGAATAATCCTCATTTACTCTATCTATAACTGGCTACTTTGTTTGTCTGTCACTTCCCATAAGGGAGGATTGTCATGTCAAATAAAGCAGGTTTGGAGAGATACATTGTGCTTTTTAATTTCTTGATTCGTCTTTCATATCGTTTTTTGCAAGCCTTAGTATCCCAGTGTTAGCGAAGAGGTTGTGTAATACCCTGAAACTAAATTTGTTTTTGAGAAAAGGTTGACTTTGAAAAAGTTATGATATTCTGAATTTGAAAATTCAAATCGGATGGAACTTAAACAGGAGCCAGCCTGATACAGTGCTGGCCAAAACTATACTTCCACCCTGAAAACTGCCGTAACTCATTTGCTTCTCAACGAACTGATCTGAAATTTGGAACAGCTGCGTGTTCAACAGGCTACCATCAGCAACTAGAACGGATCCCGTTTTTGTTTGACTCTTCAGGAAAAAATCAGAAATTTTGAAAAAAGCAGGCTTGAAGGTTGGCCAAAACTATACTTCCACTTAGGGTTTCTGTCCACTAAAGTAATTCTAGGCTTCCAAAGTTTTTTGTGCGTATACATAATCAAAAGTCGAAACAGTCGCTTTAGTCCAGCTGTGTCATACCTTTATAAGAAACGTTTATCTGCTTTTTTTTGCCTAAAAATACTTTCATGCGTATTTTGTTCCCGAGACTGTGTTTTTATGGGTGATTTCGCAGTTTTTTGATTGGTTTGGAAGCGATAGGGCTCCATCTATCTTATAAATGCTTAGCGAAGTGAGAACTAGAAAAAAATTTGAGTTTTCATATTTTAAAGGGCACCCGACATAGACTTAACAGCAAGCCTGCGCTCAAATTTTTGCATTCAAAATACGTTTATGCTATTTTTGTAAGCTCAAAATGATGTAAAGCATTGTTTGCATAAAAAGAAGTTTGTACACTATACTTAAGATTGTTCGCCAAGTATATTTTGCTTCGTTTTCAAAGCATAGATCTTCGCGATTCAGTGATAATATTTAGGCAATCCCAAAATACTTACCAATTGGAACCTTTCCTGATTTTTTGTCACTCTTTAGTGCTAGATAGTGAAAACACCCTGTATTGTATAATGCCTTGTGACTCACATGAGTATCACGGTCAGAACCAAAAATAAGTTCAAAGCTTTTTGCAAATCAGTTTTTGCAGGATGAATTCCTCAATTAGCCTGCATGCTAAGACCTGCGGAAATCTGCAACCACTGCATCCGGACTCTCATACGTACAACAATGTTGTTGCTTTACTCCACGCTCATGAGAACATTGCAGAAAGAGTTTAAAAGCAAAAATGTGAGCGCAGACTTGCTGTTGGGTCTATGTCGGGTGCCCTTTAAAATATGAAAACTCAAATTTTTTTATAGTTCTCACTTCGCTAAGCATTTATAAGATAGAAGAAGCCCTATCGTTTCCAAATCAGTTTTTTGAAAACTGCGAAATCACCCATAAAAACACAATCTCGGGAACAAAATACGCATGAAAGTATTTTTAGGCGAGAAAAAGCAGATAAACGTTTCTTATAAAGGTATGACACAGCTGGACTAAAGCGACTGTTTCGACTTTTGATTATGTATATGCACAAAAAACTTTGGAAGCCTAGAATTACTTTAGTGGACAGAAACCTTAAGTGGAAGTATAGTTTTGGCCAACCTTCAAGCCTGCTTTTTTCGAAATTTCTGATTTTTTCCTGAATAATCAAACAAAAACGAGATCCGTTCTAGTTGCTGATGGTAGCCTGTTAAACACGCAGCTGTACCAAATTTCAGATCAATTCGTTGAGAAGCAAATGAGTTACGGCAGTTTTCAGGGTGGAAGTATAGTTTTGGCCAGCACTGTATTACAAAAAAAGCTTAATTAAAAGAGAGCATAACTTTAAAAAGCGGTAAAATTGAACTAAATCTTTGCTCACTTTGTCGGTAATGTTCATTTGAGCACTGTTGTCTTTTTTTTAAGGAATGCCGGATATTCTTTTATCATCAAATGTGGTAGACCCTCGCTGTATAGTTCAAAAATTCTGCAATCGCCTTTTGCAATGTTCAAAGTTTTTGAAGGGCACAAAAGCGTCACAGCGAATGGCAAACTCATTTCTATGCTAGAATTTTTGAGTTCAAATTTCTTCAAAAGTCTCATCTAAAAAGCATCTTGCAAAGGAAGGAATTGCCATCGTTACGCATCTAGAAAACAAGATTACCGTCGCTCACTTGTCCAAGATAGAAATGGTAGGGAATATCTCAGATTTTAGTCGTTTGAATAGAAAGCATGGGATTCTGGGACAAGCAAAGACCAGTGAAAACGAACGCGAACAAGAAACTAGAAGAAAGCTTCTTTTAGAATAATGTGGAGATCAGGATGTTTTTTTTTGCGAACAACGCTTGAAAAGAGGTAAAAAAACATGCACCAACTTTACTTTACTTTTACTTTACTTTACATCATTAAAATCGTGAAGCTCCGTTCTTTGAAATGCTTGCAGCAACCTCTCAAATTACCATTCAAATACTCATAACTGTACCCAATCGGTGTCTGGATGGTAACGGTGCCCGAATGAGATGCGGGTAACCGATCATAGTCGTTTGGACGCATGCAACACAAGGTTTTGCAGACATTCATTTTTTTAGCACAATATGGTTATTGCGAAAGTGGATGGATCTACTTCGATGAGACGGACGCTTGTTATAAGGTATTTTTGATCTCTAAGATAAAAAACAGGATGTCATGCAAATAAACCCATACCGTGACCATCGTGCCCACGCTTAACTCCTTAACCTATCAATGTGTAACATTGTTAAGGCAGCACTAGATTTGTAATGATAACACATTTCTCATAATCATATAATTCCTGTCATCTCTGTGTAGCGACATTTACTACGCTAATCCATATGATACAAATAAGCGATCATTTGGCGATGTAATGAGAGAACTAGGACTGAGAACTTTGATTTTCAATCATTTACTTTACAGAATTTCTTTCCGGCAACTTTTTACGACGCTGAGAGCTTATGTAGAAACTCCGAAGGACATCTGACTTCAATTCACAGCCATACAGAAAATTCTTTCGTAGCCGGTAAATCAACTTATTTTTCAATGTGGGCTCCTATATTTTGTGATTTAGCGTTGTCAAAGATGGGTATCAGAATGAGTACCAATAAGCAGGGAATTTGGATAGGTCTGGTACGATACGGGAAAGATAACTGGACGTGGACTGACGGCACGAAAGTTGACTTTCTCGCCTGGGGACCGGGGGCTCCAAATGACTGGGAAGCCACAGAATGCTGCGTGTCGGTATGATTTTCTTAAAAACAAGAAGATTCAACGACTTGCTGAGATTAGGTTTTGATATGATCATAATCATAGATCGATGTGCTACGGTATTCTTCAAATCAGGGTCTACGTAGACTGTAGCAGCACTTCACTTTTAAGAAAATCATGTGCAGAATCTCTGCCGCTGCTCTAGTCTGAAACAATCCTTCGTAAGCGGAAAGTGATGCCTAAGAAAATGTGATTGATCTTCTAATCTAACGCTTCGTAATCTGCTTGTCATTACAAAGGCTGATTGAATCCTTACTCTGTTTAGTTTCATAGAGGTCCATTAAAACACTGAAATACGATCTCCCTTTGATCTTCTAAAATTTCGCAATCTTTTTTATGATATCCCTTTTGGACTCTTGAAGTGCTTTTGCATGTTGATCCGCCTACTGCAAAGCCGTCAATTAAAACAAGATAGCTTTAGACACTTTTGCCACTTCAAATAGCTCAAACCTCTATTAGCTATACTCTAATCAATTGGCCTGTTTAATGAGAACTTTATCACAGACTAGCTGGCTTACCCGGCTCCGCCGTATCCGGACCAAACTTGGCACACATACACTTCGGGCCCCGGCGGGTGTCACAGTCCATTTTTCGTTATCGATCGATGTCGATTTTACCGATTTTTATCGATTTTTTTGCAAAGTTTGAGCTACGGGGCTGGGAGTTGGCACCGGGGGGTAATCGAGCATGGGGATTCCGAATACAATATCCCCCTTGGGGATGATCAGCATGCTCGATTACCCCCCTGTGCCAACTCCCAGCCCCCTAGCTCAAACTTTGCAAAAAATCGATAAAATCGATAAAAGTAATGGACGATCCTGAAAACTAATATTGTGTTCGTAATCGCATGCTCGATTACCCCCCTGTGCAAAATCCCAGCCTCGCATGTCAAAATTTACAAAAAAATCGATAAAATCGATAAAAGTAATCGATAATCCTGAAAACCAATATTGTATTCGGAATCCCCATGCTCGATTACCCCCCTGTGCCAACTCCCAGCCCCGTAGGTGAACTCAGCAAAAAAATCGATAAAAATCGATAAAATCGATATCGATCGATGACGAAAAGTAGCCTATGACACCCGCCGGGGCCCGTAGTGTATGTGTGCCAAGTTTGGTCCGGATCGGTTCAGAAATGGAATTTTCTATTCGGAACATACGTACACACAGACAGACAGACATACAGACAGACAGACATACATACAAACAGACATTCAGCTTTATATATAAGATAGCAATGATCTATCAATCCTCCTTTTTATGGTTACCTATACTGTCTGCGCCACACCAGCAAAAAGTGTGGATCAGGGGTTCCAATTCTGAGCGCTTAGGTTAGCGCGGCTCGGGTCCTCGCGAGTCCCCCGATTGACCCACTTCGCCAACATGTGAAGCATTTCCCAAACCGTTTTCCCATGGCTGAGGCTTGAGAAGTGCCTGATCATTAGGCGTTCATAGCTGAGGAGCTTGGGAAAATGCCCAGAACGTTACAGTTTTCTTCATTAGCTTTCCAAAAGTTCATTTTTCTTTCGTTCAGAAAGCGAATTATATTAAGTTGTCCGGAATTTAATGTCCGTTTTGAATTTCAACCGCATTATGTCATACACTTCTCTTTTCTAAGTAGGTTGCAAAGTAACAATCGACAGACAAAGCAAGCTCCACAAGAGGGCGATTTTGCTTTTGCAACAGCTCTCATCGACCTCAAGTTTCGCGCCAAAACTAAGAAGATTCAGCTGCTTGAAAATTGGGAAAAATCGTAATTCAGTTTATAAAAATGCTACAAAAATTATGATTTGCCCACGTAAACACTATAACCGCCACCGCATAAGACATCTAAAGTGCGGTTCATAATTATACGAACACCCAAAATTTTGTAAGTTTTCGGACTTTTTGGGAGAAACTCAAAAAGCCGTTGGTACCACGCGATAGAACACAGCCGAAAACGGTATATGACCCATAAGAATGGAAATTGATATCAATCTTAAGAGTGTTTTTGCGCTTAATGCGAATTTTTAGCGGTTCATAATTATACGAACACCTCGAACAAAGGTCTATTTCTAAATCAAGATTGCAATCATTTGAGTCCAAATTTTTTGTAGAGTTACAGTAACAAAGTCTGACATATCTGCTACACACTGAACCCAGTGCAGTTCAAAAAGAGGACCGTTACTTTTTCCAGAAGGCTCTAAATGCTTTTTAAGTGATTGCGCTCCAAAAACATCCGTTCTTCTGTGGTTTACGCGCTCTAATTAGCTTCTACCAAAGCTATGAGATGATATAAACTCTTTCGATAGGTATTTTGTTTGACGCTTGGAAAATTTTTGCGTTTTCGTGCCGTTTTTCAACCAAGTTCCAACCTTACCTTAGAGTTAGCACGATTTCGAGCCTCAAAACTCAACTTCTGAAACCGTATAATGAAGTAAGCATTTAGTATGTAGAAGTTCACAAAACTGTATATTTGGCTAGAAAAAATCAGCAGCGTTGAGCGTTTGTTTTGGCCACGCAGACGTCATTTCACCAAAAACACTGTTTTTACTATTGCAATCACGCCTTTATTTGATTTGTAGCTCCACAGCCTCAAGGTCAGTTCTACAAACAACCCAAAAACTTTGGCACAAAAAGATCATCATGCAAACAATGCAGCTGCTTCATATCGAATGTTTGCGCAAGAGAGAAGCTGAGTTTTGAGGCTCGAAATCGTGCTAACTCTAAGGTAAGGTTGGAACTTGGTTGAAAAACGGCACGAAAACGCATAGATTTTCCAAGCGTCAAACAAAGTACCTATCGAAAAAGTTTATTTTATCTCATAGCTTTGGTAGAGCGCGTAAACCGCAGAAGAACGGATGTTTTTGGAGCGCAATCAATCAAAAAGCATTTAGAGCCTTCTGAAAAAAGTAACGGTCCTCTTTTTGAACTGCACTGGGTTCAGTGTATAGCAGATATGTCAGACTTTGTTACTGTAACTCTACAAAAAATTTGGACTCAAATGATTGCAATCTTGATTTAGAAATAGACCTTTGTTCGAGGTGTTCGTATAATTATGAACCGCTAAAAATTCGCATTAAGCGCAAAAACACTCTTAAGATTGATATCAATTTCCATTCTTATGGATCATATACCGTTTTCGGCTGTGTTCTATCGCGTGGTACCAACGGCTTTTTGAGTTTCTCCCAAAAAGTCCGAAAACTTACAAAATCTTGGGTGTTCGTATAATTATGAACCGCACTTTATATACGTCGTTGCCATATTTTTTTCCTTTGCTAGAAACCAAGAAAACGGAATTTTCGTGCATTTGCCAGAGTAAGGCTGTGCCGTCCCCATACAAGTAGTTGTATTATATATTACAAATCTGTAGAGCTACAAACGTAAATTTTCAGCTCTCTACAGTCTTTAGTTCTCGAGAAATTTGAATTTTAGCTTGGACCACCTGATTAGGGAAAGCTATAATTGATATTTAACGAGAACTAAAACTTGTAAATAACTGAAAATTTACTTTGTACTTCTACAAATTTGTAGTATATAGTTACTTACGTGTAGACGGCACAGCCTTACTCTGGCAGCGCGAAAAATTTTTTGATTTCTAACAGAGAGGAAATATGGCAACGGCGTATATAGATATGGGGATAGCGTTCACATGAGAGTTAGAATTTTTGCAGGATTTTTCTTAACTGAATTAGGACTTTTCCCAATTTTTCAAGCAGCTGAATCTTTTTAGTTTGTGGCTCGAAACTCGAGGTCGATGAGAGCTGTTGCAAAAGCAAGGTCGCCCTTTGGTAGAGCTTGCTTTGCCCTATCGAAAGGTATTTTGCAACTTATTTAGAAATGAGAAGTTTCACGACCTGTTGCGGTTGAATTCCAAATCGAACATCAATTACCGGACAACCTGATACACTATCTGGAACCCTCAAGCAAAGATTGTTGATGAAAAATCGCAGAATTTCATGCTATTAGGATCCAAACAGAGTGTGCGTTTTGTGTTAGAAGATATGTACACGAAAGAATTCCTAGCATCCGGTCTCACGGGGAAGGAAGGTTGGTCAAAGTGGCCCTTTGAGATGAGGTGTATACTGCCTTGTAGAGCTTGGAACGTTGATTCCAAATCTACCTTTGCTATCTGCTGCGGGCTTCTGGGCGAGGAGGCGAGGATGAAGGTTTTTGTGAGTAAAAATATAAATGCAAAAATAGGGTAAAATCAGTTGTAACCTTTTCCCATTGTTCAAATGAGGCAGCAGCGAATTGGTATATTTGAATCAGGAATATTTGTTGCACCGAGTGAGCCGACTACCAAAGCCCTATGAAAAATGTTACGACTAATTTTAGCCTACTCTTGCATTAAAATTTTTACTCACAAATACCTTCATAACTCCTCGCCCAGAAGCCCGCAACAGATAGCAAAGGTAGATTTGGAATCAGCGTTCTACGAGGCAGTACATATCTCATTTCCAAAAGCCACTTCGACCAACCTTCCTTTCCTTGCCAGTTCCATTGCTTGTTATTTTGTAAAGAATAATTATCATTATCGGATCGGCACAGAAGTTCTGGACAGCTCTCTTGAATTCATCAGTCTCTGTGTCTCAATGAAATCGTAATATCTGTTGAGGAGTGGAGAGTAGCGATACTACTGAAGTACTGTGATGGTTTCTCGAGAGGGTCAGATTCAGGAAAGGAAGAGGAGAAAACTAATGCGACTATTTTTGGGTCGCTATCTGGAAGGTAAAAAAAAATACGATGATCTGATAAGGTTTTCCGTAATGCTTTCTCTAGCCAATCCTACAATCCACTGCATAAAATTCAGAACTTTCGAAAACAAAGGCCAAGCACTCGCATATTGTATCAGGCTGTCAGGAAAATAATAACGCTTTTTATTTGCTTGGTACGGTTTTTTTTACGGCTCGGCATCAAGTCTTTCTTGGAGAATTGCGAGATATGATGGCGGCTACGAAAATCAAGCACAACAAGAAAATACTCAATTGTTTCAGTGCGTTCAATTACAACAACTTAGAGCCCTTCAAGGTTTGACTGTACCTCACTGGTGTTTTGGTTGTAAGAGGTGTTTGCCACTTCTGTGTTACTTTTCTGTTCATTGCTGTTTTCGTTGTTGCTCACTGAATGCTGAATGATATACTTGGGGAAATTCGAATTTTTTTTTCAAATATTCGAATATTAGATATATTCGAAAATCAGAAATTTCGAAGAGTCGTATTTTGAATTTCATTCGAAATCTCAGATTCTCGAATACTCGATTTTTCGAATTATTCGCAAATGATTTATTCGAATGATGGAATAATTATTCGATTCGGTCCCAAGTGTACTGAAGGTGCCTCACTTCCAAAAGTCAATTTGAAGAGAAGAATGGACTCGAAACAGATATATAAATTTGAAGATCTCCTTGATAGCTCTAACTCTAAAAAGGTTGCTTGAGCGATGTCCAAACATTTTTTTACAAAATTGATGAATAAAAGATTTTATTCAAAAACAATTTATGATTACAAGCGGTTTAGCGGGAATATTACGAAATGAATAAGAATTTATTACGAAATTTCAATGATATCGCACATCGCTTGCATTGTGTAAGTGCCCACCCACGGTACACAAAAATGCGCCTTGCACTCTGGAAAATAAAGTGGTTTTTTGCTTCAGCCTAGCCATGATTGTATGGTAATTTTTATCGATGGAGGACGTTTCGCGTCCTCATTTTTTCAGAGCGTGAAAATCAAAAATCATTTGGTGACATACCCTCTTCAGACGCCGCATCTAACCACAGATCTGTTGAAGACAAATGAGATTGAAAGCAGTTTGAGAAGAGAGACTAACAAAGAGAGGTTGCTTGCTGACCGTGGTTATTTGGAATGCGATGCATACCATAAGATGCATTTCGAAACGCTGATCTTAAATCTGTGCTTGATATCTACGAAATGATCTTTTGAAGAAATTTACGGACTTTTTTCGTAGAAGGTTTGTCTACTTTTGAGTAGTTAGATTCACTAAATTTGTTCTAGTTTACCTTTTGAAGCTATTGAGGAGAATCTTAAAAGGAGTACTGTTGTATTTACACCTATCTAAATCATATTTGATCTGAAAAGGAAGGAAACGTAATATTGATGATTTCGATCCTCCACAGTACGCAATTCATTCTTGAAAAAATAATCATAATTGCAGTTTACGGTTGCGCAGATATGAAAAACAGTATTTAAACCAACACTTTTACTAAACTCTTTGCTATTCATTCCAGAAACGAAGACTAGTTTGAATTCAGTACATCTGTGCTAGCCTGACTTGAAACCATTATGCACACATTGTCCAAACAAATCGTGGTTAACAATCTATGCTTGTATATAGTCTATCTCATCTAGCATTTGACTACTAGGAAGCAAGAAAGAACAAGATCAATCTACAAAATTAAATTAGACAATTTAAAGCAATTTGGAGTCTGTTACAATCAGTCATAGAAAAGAGGACACGCAGTTACCTGCCTGGCCTTATAGCCACTAATAAGACGTCAAGACGCCTTGCATGATACCACAAAGATTTCAGGAAAAGCGAATCAAATTACTGCCTTTTGCCACTTTTGTTCTCAAATGTATTTTTGAATCAGAGCCGAGAAAAGCCCATAGGAGAAGAAGATAAAAGATAATAATTTGTCGAGCAACTGGCTCCAAAAATCTGGCCTTTCTGCAGAAAAGCAGTATTGACCATCTCGGCAATTCCGAATGTCACTGTTCTGTCCCAAAAGTAAACTCCATTTTCAAAAACTCTGTGTTTTTGCTCTCCTAATAGACTTGTACCAGTCGATAGAGCGGAATAAGTACAATGAAGGCCAAAGATTCACCTGAGTCGTATTCCAGTTTAAATCAGAAGAATGAACTTTTTTTAACTACTCAATTGGGTCTCCCTTCAGAAAATTCCTACGGACTTTCAACTGGGGCAATATAGAAGACATCAGTGGCGGTGCCAGGATTCCGTTCGGGGGGGGGGGGGGTGGGGGGAGAGAAGAGAGGCGCGCAAATTCTTCTCTAAAATGAAGGTGCATTAGTCAAGCACCCAAAAAATTTTTGGGGTATCTGAAAATTTTTGCGGGTTAAAAATCTTAATTATTTATTATTTACAAGAATGAACAAGTCACCTGCGCTTTTTTATAACTGCTACTATGTCACTTTTATCGAATTTCTCATGTAAAACTCGGCATTGTTTGATTATAAAAGGACATACAGGGTAAAATTTTGAGATTATGCTTACAAAGGTTTTTGGTATACAATGACATACATTTTTTAGGTGGTAGTATTCCACTTTGCACGTTGGAGTTCTTCGAATCTTTGGTGGTCATTTTGTAGAGCTTGATCTGCTTTATCGAATGACTAGGTGGCTTACCCGGCTCCGCCCGGCCCTGTCAAAACATTATGATAATGCTCTCGTACCTATCCCTGTACAACCTTTCCCTGGGCCCAATTTTACATATCAACTCCAACTCCCTATTCCCACTGTGTTAGTTGTCAGCATGCTCACTTATCCCTGTGCGAATTCCCAGCCGTAGCTCAAAATTCACAAAATATCGATAAAATCGAAAAAAGTAATGGATAATTGTAAAAACTGATATTGTATTCGTAATCGCATGCTCGATTACCCCACCCCTCCTGTGCCAACTCCCAGCTCCACAGGTCATACTTTATAGAAAATCGATAGAAATCGATAAAATGGATATCGGTCGATGACAAAAGTAGCCTACAACACTCGCCCGGCCCCGAAGTGTATGTGTGCCAAGTTTGGTCCGAATCGGTTCAGAAATGGAACTTTCGGAACATTCGTACATGCATACATACAGATAGACACACAAACAGACATTCAGCTTCATATATAAGATACCTTAAGTCTGCTAGGAAAACAAAAACAGCTTGATTCATATGAAAAAAGTCTTTTGGGACAACCTAACACTTCCCAAGTATTAACTGAAGGAGAAGAATTTCTCCTTTTGCGATGTGGCATGTCGTTTCAAACCAGCAGTTCCCGGAAGTGGATCAAGATGGTGAAGCTGTTTCCTCTACCTGTTCTTTTATATTTTTATTCCAGATGCTTCCTGATGTTTTCGAAGACAAATATGGTCTAGATTTATGGTACCAGAAATGGGACGACCAATATTGCGCCGTTAGTTTAAGATCGTTTGTGTGCAAGAAGATGGCTTTGCATCATACATAGCAACAATAGTGCATTTGATTCTGTAAACGGCAGCCTTTACAACATCTCTTAAACCCTCAGCTTCTGAAACAATAAATTATTCACTGTGAACAAAGAGAGACATAATTACAGAGAAATGCCTATTGTCCAAAACCGGCTGTTAAATCACCCGAAAGATTCCAGAAAGTTTTCAATTTTATGCTTATTTTTAAACATTTCGTTTGCGGTGAGAAGAAGTCTAGGTTTCTATAAAAACACTTAGGCAATGTCCGGGCAAATCTGGGCACATTGGTTTCTCGCGTGAAAACTGATGAAATGATTCTAAGTAAAGCACTGCCCAAGCGCCAGCGCAGATTCACTCATAGCTGAGCATCCCCAAGCCCTCCGCACCTGCGTCGTCCGTGACCCGCAATTGACTTCGCTCACTTTGACACTGTTCGCGCTGTTCAGAAAAAGACTCGTAGATTCTAAAGGCTTACAAGGTTACGATATTGTTATACTCGCTAACATTTTTTTGGTCAGCATAAGTACAGTCTCAGTTGTGAAACATGTATGGAAGAACATGGTTTTTCAGGAGACGCCTAACGTTAATCTGTGCTGCCTCGAAGGCAGCATCCGTCAAATTCCGCTCAAAGAGTTATCTGGACTTATCTTCCCGCTAATTTCGAAAATACAGCTGGAGAGCGGGAAAATGCTAAAAAGGGCTACATTAAAACTAAAACCTCTTTAATTTTGAATCTCGATATTTGCCAACGATAAAACTCAGAGTTGTGAGACTTGACTTGACGTGCGATGTGGGCACTCTGGCTTGCAGTTTGAACTCGACAGAAGGGTAGAATGCTGGCTCCGCTCACAAGAGGCCCACCTCGTAGCTTCCGAAGCGGTCTTTTCACTTTAGAATCAAGTTAAGGCAGTGCCATTTGGGCAGCAGCTTTACAGGACGGGCGCCCTTGCACTCTACATTTCCTCGTTATCGTCACAACTACCCGGACGCTGCCTCAAAGACAGTGTATCGGCAACACTGAAAATGTTGGATTTTTGGTGTGGTAGGTTGTTACCGCCGAAGTATGAAAACAAGGTAACACAGCTCGCATAGCATGCCACTCTTGCCGAGAAAATTGTCCTCAAAAGTTTTACTCTTTTGGAAGAGCTCGCGATTTTCCTAATACTGTTAAAGGGGTGCTCGCAATGTTGTAGCCATGAGGGCCCCGCAATGACTCTGCGTCTCTAACCTTAACGGGAGCTGTTTCATTGTCCGAACTCAACTTGAAGGGTTTTGTAATTTGCACATTCTCGCCATTCTCTCCAAGGTGAATTGCCGGGGTTGCATCGAAAAATCATGGGTTAGCAAGAATTCAATCGAGGACTGCCGAGCAATTGGCCCAAAACGTGAGTGTTATGTGGGGTGGGTTTTCCAGTGAAACTTACTTGCATGTGGAAAGAATAAACACACTCCCTAAAGGTCAGTGCGTCATAGCTCAATGATGGGAAAGATAAACGTATACAGAATCAATAAGTTCTTTGTAAAAAAATATCAGATAATGAAGAGTGGTAAGCTGCGCTTCCATGTTGACATGTTGCGAAATAAGGGATTGCAGTATATGTGAGAGACAGATTTGTAGGCTAAAGTGTTTGTCGGCGATTAACATCGTTTTCTCGAGGAGTTTGTTAGAGGGAGTTGGGACGTTAGGTGTGTTGCTAACAACCCCTCCTCCTTTTTCACATTTGTACAGGGCATTTGAAAAATCGTGACGATGGCGCGACCGCGCGACACGCACGCACTGCGCGCAACCGCATTTTCTTGGTTTTCGCATCTACTCGAATGGTTTTTCTGCTTACGAATGATAGTAATCAGACACCGGCTGAGCTGGACTTAAGTTGATGCCTCTTCGTATGAGTGTTTTATGACCCTGCGGGCGCAAAGACCGCAGTCAAATCCGTCGTCACAATTTTATAAATGACCTATATTTAATGGTATGGCTAATTTCGTAACTTGTGGTTTTTGTAATTTCCTCAGACAGTCAAAGGTCTCAGCCGGCCCCACCAAAAGTGCCGTTGCCTTATCGCCGCCACTTTTCGTTTGCCGCTGAGAAAGTTTGCTGAGAATGGCGAGAGCGGGCTGCCATAAAGACTTCAGCGCGAAGCGAAAGTGGCGGCCATGCCTTATCGCGGGCATGGGAGTTGGCACAGGGGGGTGGTCGAGCATGCTGATTACGAAAACAATATTAGTTTTTGGAATTATATATTACTTTTATCGATTTTATATATATACAGGGTGTCCCAAAAAAATGTGCCTACTGTTTGACTGTAAATAACTCTCTTGTAATGAAGTGTTTCGAGAAGCTTTAGGTACCATTATGTAGAGCGAGGTTTAACTTAGTTTTGCAATATAGAGCAAATCATCGATCGCTCTTCATTACTGTAGGATTACGGTAAGAATTTCCAGCATATGGACCACCGTGAAATATACTACCTAACAAAATTTTTTCCAAAAAATCTGAAAAATTGTGTATTAGGGATTTCACGCATGCTGATTCCACCTGACAACCTTTTACGAGTGTTTCCAGCGTTTTTGACGGTATAATTACATTTCTGACAAATGCTGGGAACTGAGTTATTACGATTTACCGGGGATAACTTAGGAAAGAAGCATCACAATAAAATGAGAATTTCAAATTAGAAATCAGAGGCTCCCACTACCGTAGTATAAGAGTTTTTATCTTGTATGGTTTTTACCGAGGCAGAATATAGCCTCCAAAGGCCT